CAAAAGATTAGGTGCCAGCAGTTTCCTTGTCACAAGATAAGAGCTTTGGAGGTTGCAGCAGGGCTAAAGGCGTCCAGGATCTTAGCTACAGTTCTGTAATTTATTTTATTTATATAAACATTTATATGCCATCCTCATACAACATCAGAGCAGTGTGCAGCAACATACAAACTTTTTATATAGTTTTTTTTAAAACAACAACAATTAAAAGCAGTTCAATCAATCACTAAAATGACTGGCTACTCAATAAACTTTTATACAACTGCATAGGCTTGTTGGCATAAAAATATCTTCAAGAGACACCTGAAAATCAAAAGTGAGGATCTCTGCCAAATCTTTCCTGTTCCACAAAATGCCCAACTTTTGCTTGAGACTGGTGAAGCCTCTGTAATACACGGGACAGCTAACAGGGCTTTTCTGGATGATCTCAGTGACACAAGGGTTCAGGTGGTCAGGGCTTTGTGCATCATCACAAGGGCAGCCCCTTGTTATCACATGCTGCCCTTGTGATGTTATCAGTGTTATCCCATGCTGTCAGTCATCTTCCTCCTGATCAGCAGTCTCGCTTCTGCATTCTCTCCCAGCTGAAGCTTCTGGAGCAAGCCCAAGGGCAGCCCTGCATGAAGCACATTGCAGTAATCCAGTCTCAAGAAACAAAACCTACAGTAAGATGGAAAATAATGCTTCCATCTATAAAGGTAAAGGGACCCCTGACCATTAGGTCCAGTCGTGACCGACTCTGGGGTTGCGGCGCTCATCTCGCTTTATTGGCCGAGGGAGCCGACGTACAGCTTTGGGTCATGTGGTCAGCATGACTAAGCCGCTTCTGGAGAACAAGAGCAGCGCACGGAAATGCCGTTTACCTTCCCGCCGGAGCGGTACCTATTTATCTACTTGCACTTTGACGTGCTTTCGAACTGCTAGGTTGGCAGGAGCAGGGACCGAGCAACGGGAGCTCACCCCGTAGTGGGGATTCGAACCGCCAACCTTCTGATCTGCAAGTCCTAGGCTCTGTGGTTTAACCCACAGCGCCACCCACGTCCCTGCTTCCATCTATACTTCCACTTTATTTTTATTCGGGGGGGAAGGGATTCATACTTTTTCTAATTGCAAGGTCTTTGACCAGATCCTTGACATTAATCTTACATAACATATGCTTAGTAGAGATAAGGCATGCAACCTGCATTATTGCATAGTTGTTCTATATATTAGTTGCAGTGCCAATGTCTTTGTTGGTATTGCAACTAGAAAAAGTAGGAGATTTTTTCCCCTTCTGAATAGAACAGCATGGGAAGGCCTCTCACCCCCCTTTCCTATTTCCCGGTAAGAATATCTGCTCCTCTATTGAGTAGGGCTGGCTGATACCTGGGTTTCAACATTGTGATATATCACCTGATAAACATTGCAATATCCTGATATATCATGATGTTTTGAATCAAGAGGGAATAAGCCGATATCAGACGACACAGCGATTCTTCAAACAGCTCTTGTTTATTCAGAGGACAGAACAGAACTGAACTGAAGGGTTCTGCCAGCTTGCTTATATAGAGCTCCAGTACAACGTAACTGTATCAACTTTCTGTAACTATCCAATCACTGAACGTCACATTTGATCCCTTATTTGCATATGTGGACCTGAACTATCTACAGTATCCCCCTGCTGGCCCAGGGTGAGAACTTCAGTACATAACATCTTCTGAAGCACCCGACAGTCAAACCTGCAAGCCGTGATCAAACCACTGCAGGAGTGATTCATTGCATCGTTTGCAGTCTCCCCTTCTCCAGGTGCACTGCCCATTCTCTGCCTGTTTAATTGTTAGCAAAGCCTTCTAACCCAGATCAAGCACAAAGATGAAGAGAGAGAGAGAGGTGAACTCAGTTTTTTCAAATCAAATTCAGTTCAGGTGAAGCTTCTCTGCTCCTTACGAACAAGCCTTCCAAACTGTACCTCTGCCCAACTGTCATAGTCTGGAATTACATCGCCCACAAGCAAACAACCACAGATTTTTTGGCTATTGAGTGGCTCCCTTGAGCAACTACATTCTTTCTGCAGCGCCACTGCGAGGCTCAGCAGCCCAGTTATGTCAGTTATGTCACCCCTTGCCTGCAGAGCCTGCAGCCTCTCACCCTTTTTCGATCACCCTCCCTTGTGGAGGGCTCTCTTAGCCCCTCTCCTTGGGAGTCCTCTGGGCAGCCACTGCTGCTGTCCATGGTCCCTGAGCTGCCTCGGCTCCTGGCACCAGCCCCCCTGGCCAGCCCCAGAGGCATCGTTGACCTGGGGAGCTTGCAGCCAGGGCTGCTGCAACAAAGAGCTGTGCAAGCCTTTAGGAGGCAGAGACGAGAGAGAGCGCATCAGAGGAGGGAGGGAAGGAAAGAGGGACAGAGGTCAGTGTTGAAAACCACAGCTGGACAGCGTCATATTAGAATGCTTTAAAAAGCAGAAAAACAGATGTTAAAGGCCATTTCTGTTCTGGGTTTTCCCATCAGCCCAGCTAATTACTGGGCTGCATGGATTACTGCATGGATCCTGAAGGCTGCTTTGTCCTCAGCAGAAGCTCAGCGAAGGAACTTAACTGGGTGTGATTGCTGCCTTCTGCCGGAAGTATCCTGGTAAGGCTTGTATCCCTCTCTTGGTGTGGCTACAATTGGCAGAGTAGCATTTTTCTTGCTGGTTATTGTTGGTCAGAGACAGGAAATCGGGTCAAGAGTGTTGCAGTTTACAATGCTAGGAAATAGCCTGAGGTGAACTTTATTGCCAGCTAAATTGCTATTGCAAAATAACCTTTTTAGCCCTTTTGACAAGGAGGGAGCTGCTGCTCCATGGGTGGAGCATGGGTGGGGCAGCTGCCCCCAATCAATAAAAATACATAGCAAACTGAGGTTCTGCCCCCCCCCCAAATTCCTGGCTACGCCCGTGCCGCTCCCCTTTTTGCAAATGCTGCTCCTCAAGTCAAGATGGATTTCTGCTTTTGATCTTTTTCTTTTCAATATCGGTTTCTGCTCCCTAGTGTTTGTTTCTATTTTTAGCTTTTCTAGCTCTGGGAATTTTCCTTGAAAGGCAAAAAATGGGCCTCCCGGTTACGCATGCAAGGACACCACATAGCAGGAAACATATTTGCTTATTGATTAAATTGGTTAGTCACTTTATCTTGCCCAAGGCAACAAAAAAATGACTTAACATTATTGCAGAGGTGTTAAGGAGCTGGAAATTTAGAAGCCATTGAGCAAAACTCTTATTTTTTACTGTTTTTTTTCTTGGGGAGTGGATGGGTGGAATTGGAATGTTTTTGGGGAAATGAAGAGGTATGTAAAGGTGAACATAACTCTAAACCTGATAATTTTTTACTTAACCTTTAACATATTGTTGCAACTGTTACGTTATAGTAGTACTCTACCAAAAGTAACACATTTTCTCTAAAATTAAAGCTGTAGAAGTAATTAGTAGCATTGATATTAAAGGTTCCCTAAAAAAATAATTACACTACTTAACAAGGGGAAAAAAGCAAATTCAGTGTCACAAATATTCAAATTATATTTGAATGGATATTCAAATATAATTTACTGTTGAGTCTTAGTATGCATCGCACAACACCAGTTATTTGATTGTTGGTTAATTTCCTTTTCTAAACCAGGCCAAAGAAGAAAGAATGTAATGGATAAATTTTATCAGAACAAAATATAAGCAAATTTTATATTTTTATTGGCAGGAAAATTTACATTTATTTTATAACCCAGGCCAAACCAATAAGGATGGGTAGAATTTTACAGAACAAAAAATGATTAAATGAAGTTTATATTTTTTGCAAGGAAAATTTGTATGTTGGCGTTCTCTGGCAATAGAGATGCCCTTTGTATTTGAAGAACATTGCCAGCCATGCTGAACATACGTTCAAATGACACACTTGTTCCTGGGATTTTTTAATACCGCATACACAATATGCGTTAAATTGCAAAGTCATTAAAAAAAACCAAACTGTTACCACGATTTACTCTGAAACCTGGTATCAGAATATATATAGATTTATAGCACAGCCCTAGTCTCTGGTATTGATGTTTCCGATGAGAGACCATCAGGGTGATGTCATCAGCAAACGTTAAGTGACATAAGAATCAGGGAACTCTGACTCATTTCCTGGCTTTTTATGGCAGAACAATTCTTTAATTGTTGGCTTTAATGGCCCTAAAATCTGGTACCCAGTCCCCAGGCAATATGCTATTGAAAAATTTATAAAGATTGTGGGGATGGGGGGGGGGGGGTTTCACAAAACTTTATAAACAATTTCTGTGAGCAAAAAGCTGGGAAGCGAGAGACAGAGCAGTGTTTTGTGTCTGTTTGAATCCAAGGATGGGAAAACAAAACCCTTTGAGGTGTTAATGCTGGGAACCCATCCACTTTTGGCTCTGGCTGTAAAGGTAAAGGGACCCCTGACTGTTAAGTCCAGTCATGGCCGACTGTGAGGTTGCGGTGCTCATCTCGCTTTACTGGCCGAGGGAGCTGGCGTACAGCTTCCGGGTCATGTGGCCAGCATGACTAAGCCACTTCTGGTGAACCAGAGCAGCGCACGGAAACGGCGTTTACGTTCCCGCCGGAGAGGTACCTATTTATCTACTTGCACTTTGATGTGCTTTCGAACTGCTAGGTTGGCAGGAGCAGGGACCGAGCAACGGGAGCTCACCCTGTCGCAGGGATTTGAACCGCCGACCTTCTGATCAGCAAGTCCTAGGCTCTGTGGTTTAACCCACAGCGCCACCCGCGTCCCGCCCTGGCTGTATCTATGTGTAAATAAACCGTATATCATAAAAGGCACCACAATCTCCGCTGTGCCTCATTTCCAAAAGGAAACATGGACCTTGGATGAGGGTCTGGAAGCCCTGGAAGCAATTGGAGTAGCTTCGTCCAACAGTATGTTTTATTTTTTTCTAACCTGAAGGTGCCATCAGAGGGGAATTAATCTCTTCTGCCTGGGCACTTGGTGCTGGACAGCAATGAGAGAGGAGTAATGATAAGCCATGATGATGATGCTGTAGAGAGACACAGCCTGAGAGCACCTGAAGAGACAGAAGCTGCCCAAAGAGGCAAAAAACCCCTGGACTGGCGAACACATTTTCCCAAAATAAGAAGGACAGGTAAGTTGAAAAAGCTGCAGAGCCTCCTCGACAGCTGGTTGTGCTGTGTATAGATGCGAGCGTGTAGCCTGCAAGGCAGCTATATTTTCCCCTGGGAATTAGGGCAGGGATGGGGAGCTTCTTGCCCTCCAGATGTTGCTGGACTAAAAGCCCCACTATTCCTGCCCCTGTTGGTTATGCAGTCTGGGGCTGATGGGAGTTGAGGGCCACCAGTTCTCCATGCCTAGTTTAGAAACCTGTTGGCGTTTGGCTTACATTGTGTGTGTGTGTGTGTGTGTGTGTGTGTCTGCCTTTCTCCCCTTCCAGTTCCCAAATACATTTTTCTTCAAAAGATCAAGTTCTTGCCGGTGTAAGTTAGAAGAAAATATTAAGCGGTAAGATTGTGATGTGTGCCGATGCCACTTCACAAAACCTGCAGCATGTGGAGTCTGTACAGGAGCTAGTCTTGTTCTCTGTAGAGTATCTGCTGATGCAAATGATAAATTCCTGCACCTCTTAATTCTTGCTCAATTACCTGGTCCTTTTTTGTGATAGATGTACATGCATACATGGGAGCATATTCACCCAGTGCTTTTCCAGCTGCACTGGTGGAGTACAGGGTCAGATTTAAGGTGCTGGTTTTGACCTTTAAAGCCCTTCACAGCCTAGGGCCCTCGTACCTACAGGACTGCCTCTCCCGGTATGCCCCACGGAGAGCCTCAAGGTCCATAAATAGCACCCTAGTGGTCCCGGGCCCTAAGGAAGTTAGATTAGCCTCAGCCAGAACCAGGGCCTTTTCAACACTGGCTCCAGCCTGGTGGAACGCTCTGCCTCATGAGACCAGGGCCCTGCAGGATCTGATTTCTTTCCGCAGGGCCTGTAAGACAGAGTTGTTCCGCCTGGCCTTTGGCTTTGAGCCAATTTGATTCCCTCCCCCTCTTTCTTTTTTCTTTTCCTTTCTCCTCCTGCGATGAGGCTACATTTTAATATTTTAATGTTTCAATATTTTAATGTATTTTAATTTTGTTTTTAAGTTGTATTCATTCAACTTGTTTTTTTTTATTGCTTGTTAGCCGCCCTGAGCCTGGCCTTGGCTGGGGAGGGCGGGGTATAAATAAAAATTATTATTATTATTATTATTATTATTTATTATACATAGGACACTAACTTCTGCCAAGTCAGACCCCTGGTCCACCTGGCTCAGTGGCAAGCAGTAGCCCTGCAGGGTTCAGACAGGAGTCTCTCCCAGCAATAATTGCAAATGCCGGATTTGAACCAGGGACCTTTTGCATGCAAAGTCCATGCTGAACCACTGAGATACAACTCTTCCCCATTCCTCCTCCTTGTATGCAGATAATTGCCAAAGGGTTGTCATACGCCCGGGTTTCCCCAGACATTTAAAACTGGTTCCGAAGTTTCCAGCCAGAAGCAATTTTCAAAGGCCAAATACTGGCAATGTCTGGTCTGGAAATTTCTGAACATATGGCAGCCCGTGTGTGTCTCTGTGTGTAATGTTGATATGCTGCATTAATCAGTCTGGAATATCTGACATATCCCTCTTCCTGATTTCCAATCAGTGATCACGTCCTCTAAAAATAGATGGTTCTCTCTTTTCAGTTTATTGCTGAAAAATTATACACTGCTTGATTGTAAAAAAAACCGCTCTAAGCAATGAGAACAGTTAAAAACAGGTAGTAAAAACATGTAATTTCTTTTTAAGTATATTAATTGTTTTTAAATGTTTTCATTGGTAATGTGACTTTCTTGTAAACTGCTTAGAGGTTTTATACATTGTCCTTGGGGGTCTGTCTGAACAAGAGTCATGTGAAAATTGCTGCAAGCGGCACACTGGCGTGGTTTTCTGCAGAGCTCTGGCCACATTCTTGAAAATCCTATTGGGATTTGTTTACCCGAAGTGAGCCTGTTTTTCAGAAGTATATATATACAGCTGCTGGAATGTATAAACTTGAGGTATACAAGCCTCTCATGTTTGAAGGATTATCCTTACCAAGCCCTGCAAAAATATTGGCCAAAAGATTGCCTCAATCTCTCTGCTTTGGAGCAAAACCTAATTTTGAAATCTAGTATCTTTTGGATCAGTAGCTGAGAATTAGCATATAAATATATACAGTGGTACCTCAGGTTAAGTACTTAATTCGTTCCGGAGGTCCGTTCTTAAGCCGCAAACTGTTCTTAACCTGAAGCACCACTTTAGCTAATGGGGCCTCCCGCTGCGCCGCCGGAGCACGATTTCTGTTCTCATCCTGAAGCAAAGTTCTTAACCCGAGGTACTATTTCTGGGTTAGCGGAGTCTGTAACCTGAAGCGTATGTAACCTGAAGTGTACGTAACCCGAGGTACCACTGTATAGCATGTTAAAGGCCTTCCCTGTTTCATGGCCCTCTCCCTGTCGCCCCAGATTCCAATTTTGCTTTTGCTTTTTGCAACGCTATTTCCAGGAGTTAATACAGGCACTGGGCCACTCATTTGCATCTTTGCATTTCATTAGCTTTTCTGAAGTGGGAAAAAACCCTCCCACAATGATAGTTTTCAGAGAGCCTTTTAAAAAGTTACTGGGAACCAGGCAGAGGGCCCTCTTGGTAGTGGTGCCCACCCTGTGAAATACCCTCCCATCAGACATCAAGGAAATAAACAGCTATCTAACTTTTAGAAGACATCTGAAGGCAGCCCTGTTTAGGGAAGTTTTTTAATGTTTGATGTTTTGCTGTGTTTTTAATAGTCTGTTGCGAACCGCCCAGAGTGACGGGGCAACCCAGTCAGATAGGCGGCGTATAAATAATAAAATTAATAACAGTAACAACTATTATTATTATTAATTTGCATCTCGGGACTTATGTATGCTTTCTCTTGTCAAGCTGCTTCCCTTGGGTAAAACTGCTCTTTAGCGCTCAATCAGAGCAAATGGCAATTCAAACACTTTTGTTTCAAGCAGCTTAGAAATACAGAGGGGTGCCTGAAGAATAGTGAGATTAAAAGTCCCCTTGACTCCTTTGCTGGGCTTGGAATAGGTTGCATTTGTTCCCTCCATGCCCCTCCATGCCCAGCATAGAAACAGAAGCAGTTGCCCATCTGGCAGTCATGGTGGTTTCTATGCTGGGCCCTTCCCCGTCTTCCTCCCCCATGCCTAGTGCAGACGTGGTTAAGGGAGAGAGGAAGCCACCTGCCCCCATGCCAGCAGCTCACAGCTCATTTACCTGCACACAGTTCCCCTTTCCCTATAGCAACCAGATAAGTGGTTAAACAGAAGGCGGTTTTTAATATAGCTAAGCCTTTTGGTTACAAAGGATAATGAAGATTTGAATAAACTGCTGCAGCATGACGACCAGAAAAGCAATTGGCAATGGCAGGGGAGTCCACATGAGCACAAAATGTCATCTTTGGCTACTGCAGCGTCTGGGAAGCTTTGGCTCTGCTTACTATTCAAGTTCAGTTTCTTTTTTTATAAATATTTTTTATTGCTCAATTTCAACATAACAAATTATCAAACCATATAATCACCTGCATAATTTCCCCCCTTTATTTCCCCCCCTCCCCCCACCAAGGACTTTCCTCAGCTCCTCTCCCCGATTTCGCTGCACATATTTTCTCTGCATATTATAAAATTGTATATATCCTTACATATCTGTCCATCATGTTATAAACAACAAAATTGTGTATGTTTATTCAAAACCTGCCAAGGAGTCCAGTTCATTTTGTTGTCTTTTAAAATAATTTGTAAAAAGTTCCCATTCTTCTTTAAAGTCACAGTTGTCCTTATCTCACAGTTTATATGTCAATTTATCCAGTTCTGGATAACTCATCAATTTTTCTTGCCACTGTTCTTTTGTCGGGGGTTCCTCATTCTTCCCATCCTTGTGCTATCAAGACTCTTGCCGCTGTTGTAGCATACATAAATAAATTCCTTATTTTCCTTGGCAAGTCTTGCCCCACAATCCCTAACAAAAATGCTTCTGGGTTGTTTTACAAATGTCATTTTAAACATTTTCTTCAATTCATTATATATCATTTCCCCCCAAAAAAATTAATTTCTACCCCTCCTGCCTCAGATATACTGAAAAGGATTGAAGGTGAGTCATGTTGCAGAGGCCGGAGAAATGTCTTCTGCATATCCTCAGATAATTGAAGATGCATATCAGTTCTGTAGATGGTCTGTGAGACCAGTTGAATTCTTCAGCTATAGATAAAAGATTGCTCTTTCTGAGTAAATGTCTTATTTTGGCAAGGGTCAATCCCTGTTTCCTTCTTGCTATTCCTAGTAGTGATCAGTTCTTGCCCCCAAAGGATGAATCCCAGAATCGCCTGCCCAGTTTAACATCCACTTTGCGGATGAGCTGGATGGGGCCACCTGTGAGGTGAGGCCTCCAAGCCTTACTGCGGGGTTAGGGGGGGCTGTCACTCATATTTCAGTAAGAATCTGACTGCCTGGGTGTCCAAAGGCTGCTGGCTAATGTGTTCCAGCCCCAAATTAAAAGAATTCTTTGAGAATAATTTAGATAAAGATACAGAAATATGTATGGTATGGGAGGCAAGTAAAGCATATATAAGAGGTTACTTTATACAGCATAACTCGTGACTTAAAAAAGAGAGACAGGAGAACATACAAAAAGATTCTGTGTGAAATTAGACAAAAAGAAAAAGAGCTGGGAAAATCTCCAACAAATACAAATATTACCTGGCATATTAAGATGCTGCAGAGACACCTGTGCTAGCAACGCAGGAGATAGAAGCAAAATTGAAATATATTCCTGAATGCCAAAATAAATAGATATTGCAATAATATCAAGAGTTCTGGTATTAGCAACCCAGTTCATCATGGAAGTTTTAGTTTATTGTATGTGTGTTGATGTGGCTACATGTGAAACACGCCTTGTAGGTGAGATTTGTGTTCTTCCTTAGTAATGGTAAATCAAGACCATTATTTGTGTGTGTTAATTTCATTTCAGGGGATCACCATAATTATCAGGGTAGAGGAATCACATCTAAGCGTACCATCTTATTTGCATTCATTATTATGCTCCCCTTCCTCATCACCATCATTGCTCTTGCTGTCCAGAGAGGTGAGTTTTCTGCCTCTTTTCTTAGTGCTTTCTTCCAGGTCTGTCCCAGTCATGACCTCTGTCTGCCATCAGCACTTTGGCTTCTAATAGCCAGTTCACACTTAGCAGCAGCAGATAGGAAAACAGCTGCCTTTGGCTGAATCCGTATTATCCATGCTCTTGCCAATGGCTCTCTGGGACTTTGGAGGGGATCTTTCCCAGCCCTACCTAAAGATACCGAAGATTGAACCCAAGGCCATCAGCATGCAAAGCAGATGCTCTTCCACTGAGCAACAAAGCTCCCCCAAGTTGTGTGATTCCTCTACTGCTACTTCCCTTTCCTCTCTCCAAGATGCATCTGAATCCAGGAGCCACAAGAGCTGCTTATTGGTTCTTTCTTTGCCCTCCCTCCAAGCCAGAGGTTGAAATGTTATGTGCAGATCCCAGAACACAGCAGAACTTTCTCTCTCTTGCAGGGGGGAAATCCAACCAGACTTCCCCTGATGGGAATTACTCTGCTGCTTTGAGAGCAGCGTGCCCAGCTCCCTGGATTGTCTATGGAGGGAAGTGTTATTTTTTCTCAGAAGAAGAAAGAAACTGGACTTCTGCCCAGAGCTTTTGCAGTTCCCAGGGCTCTTCTCTGGCTGCGATTCAGAGTGAGCTGGAAAAGGTGAGACCAACAAATGTATAAATGTTGGTGAGAATTATCTCCTGCACAACAATAAGGATGAGCTATCCTTATGGAAATATAAAGAGAATCTGTGAGGTAAATTGACTTTGTCATAACTTGATGAAAACAAATTATCCATCCTGGAGCCCTTATGATCAAGGATAATAGGAATTGTAGATCAATTTCCCAACAAGTTCCCCATCCGTGCCATATAGGCTTCCTTCAGCCACTTTCCTATCCTTGAACCTCCTTCCTCCCTTTTCAGCAAAGCTTTCCTTCTGCTATCTAAGCCTCACTTTCTTTGCATCTCCAGTCTCACTGCCCAGGTCTGTGTTGGGAGTTCTTGTTCTCCTCCCACATTTGGCATTATTTGAAGTAGAAGGCTCATTTGGAGGCACTGTTCTAAGCTGTTTGTGTGTTTGCAACCAAGGTGTTCATGCTCCGGTTCAAGGGCGAAGCTGACCATTGGATTGGCCTCCGGAAGGACTTCAATGATACCTGGATATGGGCAGATGGATCAGAATACAGTAACAGGTGAGTCTTTGCTCTTCTCTTGAATTGGGACTAAGCAGGAGCCATGCTGTGTACACTGAGTTGATCAAACCTGAATCTGCAACCAAAAATCACTCCAGAATGTGAACTTCAAGGAATCAGAATTGCACTCAAAGCATAAACCTCTCAATAACCTTCCTGATATGTCGGGGTTTCTCACCTCTGATCAGACACACAGAAACCATCCACACTGCTGACAAGCTTCAGCTAAGGCTCTTGAGCTCCTCTGGTGTGGAGAAAGTCCTTGTCCTCTCACTCTCGTAAGACTTAAGGTCAATCAATTAAGCTGAACGGTAGGCGATTCAGGATGTAGTAATGTGTTTCTTCACACATTACATATTATGGAATCGACTCCCACAAGACGGACAGCTTTAGCTGGGAATTAGACAGACTCATGGAGAACAAGACTGTTGATGGGACCTGATAATGAGACATATGCGGCCTCCAGGAACTGAGGTAGTGTAGCTTTGAATACAAGTAGAACAATCATTCGAAAAGGTTCTAGTAAAAACATAAGTATTTTATTGATTTTTCAGTAGACAGTGAAGAGAATGGAATCAATACAAAATATCAAATACAGATAATCTGTCATACAACCAAAGTACAAAACCACACAGGGTGAAGCTTATCCGTGGATCAGATCTCTCCATAATGTTACAGGTGGTTTGATTAGAGAGGCAGATTTATGAGTATAATCAAGAAACATAAGCCACATACTCTCACAATTTCTTAATCTGCTATCTAACAATCCTGCCAAGCTGTGCCAAACTCCAGTAGCGCTGTCTCCCAGACTGGTAAGCCAGTCATGTAACACAGGCCCCAAATCAATGGATTCAAGAAAGCAGATTCCGACCAAAACTCAGGAAGAACCTTCTGGTAGTAAGAGCTGTCCGAGAGTCAAACGGGCTCCCTTGGGAGGTGGTGGTCTCTCTTTTATTGGAGGTTTTGTAGTGGTTGAGAGCGGTAGTCTCGTAATCTGGGGAACTGGGTTCGCGTCTCTGCTCCTCCACATGCAGCTGCTGGGTGACCTTGGGCCAGTCACACTTCTCTGAAGTCTCTCAGCCCCACTCACCTCACAGAGTGTTTGTTGTGGGGGAGGAAGGGAAAGGAGAATGTTAGCCGCTTTGAGACTCCTGAAGGGGAGTGAAAGGCGGGATATCAAATCAAACTCTTCTTCTTCTTCTTCTGCCAAGGGTTCTTTAGCTGTGATGAACACAATGGGGTTTTCTTCTGAGTAGATATGTGTACAGGATTGCACCATAAGTCTCTGAGCTTCAGAGTTATGAAATACTGATGATCTGGAACTAAGTTCCCATTTCTAATGGATCTGATTCTTGGCTACATAGTTCGTGACACTGTCCCACTCATGCAAAACAGAGCAGCCAACCTGGCTTGCCCATCTCACCTTTCCTCCTTGTATTGCAGGTTGGTGGTGAAAGGAAGTAAAAACTGTGCCTATCTAAGCAAGGAGTTTGTCATTGCCTCCCGCTGCCATATACCGATAAAGTGGATCTGCAGTCACCCTGATGCGTATATGAGGGATGTAAACTCTACAGCAGGAAAAGTCATATGCCAAGAGAAATTATGCTAAGTCCCAGTTATGTAAGAAATCAGCAATTTCCATTCTGGCCCATTTTAATCACAATCAGCACTCCGCTGCAGTTTGATTTCCTTCTAATGCTACAATATTCATCTCACTGTCTACTATTTAACATTGTTTGTGCAACTTGCATTCATTTCTGTGTAAAGGAAACATCAAAACAATGTAAGAAAGTATTTAATTACATACGCTTTGTGGACATCAAGACAGCAACAACAATCAGGTGAACAAATACCGATTGTATTCACTTGATTCTCTGACCACAGAGCTGCCACCATTTCTGCTTGCTTTTCTGTTTTTGTCACAATTCTCTGACATGCTTAGGTAAGCCTTTCCATTGTGTGACCTAGATACTGTTTCTAGAAGGAAAGGCAGCAAATTGTATGGAAACAATTTTACACCAAAGCTGGTGTGTGACAGGAGACTACAGATAGGAGTGCTCAACTCTGACACTTGTTCACAGCTTCATACAAAACCTCAAATGATCTGAACTAGGCTTCAGTACCTGCACACTTTCAACCTGATCTTTGTACAACATCAGCTAGAAACTTGTCTTACTTTATTCTGAATCTTGAAATCTGTCACCAAGAAGAGAATGGAAAATCATAAGCAGGGACATTGGGCTTCTACATTGAACCTAGCCATTTGCTAACTAAGTGGAGAGGGCACAAGCTGATGATTCATGGATTTATGCCATTCTGCCAGAAATCCATCAAATTTTTCTTCTATTTCAGATTATTAGAGTTGTGAAGATGACCACCTACACAAAAGTTGACTTGGTGCAGGCTCAATACAAGACAAATGTGCAACTCTGCTCTGGTGGCTTACCACAGGAAATTGTCATATGATCATTGCTATAGGCTGTTACAATGACCACAAGCATAGGTGGCTTTCAAAGTGGACTGCCCTTGGTTCAAAGAGCACAGGCACATTGACAGCTATTAACCAGGGCAGCCAGGGACTGGACCACCCCATTCAGAGGCAGGTGTACAACTTGGTTTTTATTGGGGGCATATGGCTGGAGACTCAAGAGTACATTATACTGACCCAGACTGGCAGCTCTCATGTTTCTGGCTTACATCATTGTGCAGCACAGTTGGGGATCCTGGGCAAAATATTATCCGACTCCTTTCATTTCATCTGGCATTGTCCAGTGGCTCCTCATAGCCAGAGGAAGTGTCCACTAGTGCCATCATGTTGCTACCATCTGTATTCTGTCAGAAATTGTGTCTTTAATATGGAATGGATGGCTCATCTATGGTTGCCAGCTTCTGTGACAGGCTCTCGGGGTTCACCAGTCCTTTGCCAGTGCTTGGCATTTTATGTAGGCCTCAATCCACACCAACCATGCAATGGATCCTGAAGGGGCCACCTGTGGACGTTTCCTGGAGGCCCCACCCAGGACTGGATTAACCATTAAGCAAACTAAGCACATGCTTAGGGCATAAAGGGAAAAAGGGGAACACTACAGAAATTTCCCGTTGCCAGAAGCAGATGTATTACGTAAGATTAGTTTTGAGGATCTGATCATAGATTCTACAATTAGAAAAAAGGAGGAGAAAGAAATTCAAATATAGATAAAGTGGAAGTACACAAAAATAAACATGGTTTCCCATCTTGCTGTAAGATTTGTTCCATTTTGAAAAATAATAAATAATTTTACGTCTTACTTGTGATTATATTTTGAGTTGGATATATATGGGGGCACCCAAATCTTTCAAGTGCTTTAAAGTCCTCTAACAGTGTTAATCCGGTTCTACCTATAGGAAAAGAAGGGTGGGGCAGTCTCAGCCATATGCCTGATGGCAGGGGAGGAGCCCAGTTGCTGTGGCTCAAGCAAAATGAAGGGTGAAAGAGATGGAACGGGTGTAAGAAACATCAGAGTGATGGAAGAGATGCCCAGGGGAGATGCAGGGAACAGGCTGTGTACCTAAGAAGGCTTTTCCACAGAGATTGGGGGTGGGGAGGGTTTTGCTTCTTGCTCCCCTGCTAGTGTCCCCTTAAGCCCCACTGTGCATAGCCAGAAAGGAATGCCAGCAGTCTATGTTTACCTAGTCCCCTGGTCACTAGGGAGACAAATGAGCCCTGGACGTAAGCCTGCTTTGGTTAAAGGCACTGAAGCAAAATATCTCTGCCCACTTTGGTAAAAGCCTTTTCTGGATCCCTGGGGTGCTTCTAGGAAGCTCTATTTGTTCCTGAGTTTGGGAATTCACTCCTGAGGAGACAGGACTGGAAAATGGAGTCTCTGAAGGGACCACCTTGGAAGAAGAGGGCTGCTGACAGGAATCTGGTGTAGAGGTGAAACATATTCCCAGAGGAACAAGTGGAGCAATGTTCCTGAGATAAACCCTACAGCATACCAGATTTGAGCAGATGCCTTTTTGGACACCTTGGCCAAATGTGACCTGTGGAAAGCATGGGCAAGTCTCTGTTGATGTGCTCTTTCCCCAGAAGTAGATCCCAGCTTCCCATAAGCACCAGCTCAGTCGCTCTGAGAAACAGGATGCTGGAGGAGATAGGTCTTTGTTTTGGTCCAGCAGGGCTCTTCTTAGTTGCTGTACTGATTTAATAGGTGCACCCTTTTTCCTATTGTGCCACTGGGTGCCGAATTTGTGCTTCATACGTAGCTATATTTTTCCAACTGGCAAAGCCGGGTACCTTGCTCTGTTGCGAACAGTACTGCTGGTCTATAGCCACACAGAGATAGTATATAGAGACTATCAATAAATGGGATTCCCATTTGGATTTCACCTAAGTTTTAATTCATACAAAACTCACTGTCTCGTTGACCCTGATCTTGAGAGGCCATGGATCAGAGAGCTTTTCTTATATTCCCCAGGGAAGACCTTCTGAAGCAATGTTGCTACTGCTAAGTCCCAGCAACGAAAGCTGTTCCATTCTAAGACTGGGTGTCAACATTTAACTCAAAAATTCAATATCTCAAAAGACACCTGTAAAACAATGAACAAATGTATTGTAGATTGAATCAATCAGTTAAAAGGCACAAGTTTAATTCCATAAAAATGGGTTACTAGTCCTCAAGAATAGGTAAAGGTAAAGGGACCCCTGACCATTAGGTCCAGTCGTGGACGACTCTGGGGTTGCGGCGCTCATCTCGCTTTATTGGCCGAGGGAGCTGGCGTACAGCTTCTGGGTCATGTGGCCAGCATGACTAAGCCGCTTTTGGCAAACCAGAGCAGCACACGGAAACGCTGTTTACCTTCCCGCCGGAGCAGTACCTATTGACCTACTTGCACTTTGACGTGCTTTCGAACTGCTAGGTTGGCAGGAGCAGGACTGAGCAACGGGAGCTCACCCCGTCGCGGGGATTCAAACCACTGACCTTCTGATCGGCAAGTCCTAGGCTCTGTGGTTTAACCCACAGCGCCACCCGCATCCCAGTCCTCAAGAATACCAGATGCCAAATCCCCAATCCCCAAACCTAAAGGGGTCACAGGATGCCAGCAAGTGCAGTTTCTGGCAGAGAAGCAACTGTAGAATCAGGTGGAGGGGTGGCCAAGGACGCTGATGCAGTTATAATTTAAACAGAGATGCACTCACTGGTCTCAACCAATTGATTCTTATGAGAAAAGGTGTCCACTAATGCCATCATGTTTCTGCCATCTGTATTCTGCCAGAAATTGTTTCCTTAATATAGAATCCATGCCTCATCCAACCCAGGGCTGGATTAACCTGCAGGGACTGCCCTGCTTCTCTCTACCTGGCTTGGGGCGGGGCCTGACAGGCTCCATAAAGGAGTGCAGCTGGGCAGAGAGGGCTCCATTTCTGTTTTTGTTTAAAATTGCTCTTATTTTTTATCTATGTCATTTTAAATTGTGATTGATATCAATGCTGTATTCTTAGTTTTAGATTTTATGATTTATGTGGAAATGGGTTTCTATTTGATTGTGTACATTTTGACGTGTTTTATTTATTGTTTATGACTTTTGTTATGTTGGTAATTGAGTAGGTGTTCTCATGTTGTAAGCTGCCTTGAACATTGTTTTAAATGTGGAAAGGCGGCATACAAATAAAATGATAATGATGATGATGATTAACCTCAAGCAAACGAAGCATGTACTTGGGGCATGGAGGGAAGGGAGGAGCACAACAGAAATTTTCCGTTGCCAGAAGCAGATGTATTACATAAGATTAGTTTGGGGGATCTGATCAAAGACACTGCAATTAGAAAAAAGGAGGAGAAAAAAGATCAAATATAAATAAAGTGGAAATATACAAAAATAATCATGGTTTTCCATCTTGCTGTAAGCTTTGTTTCATTTTGAAAAATATAATATAATTTTACGTCTTACTTGTTTCACTATTTAGGGTAGGTATATATGGGGCACCCCAATCTTTAAAGTGCTTAGGGCTTCTAAAGGTGTTAATCCGGCCCAACCTACGGGAAAAGAAGGGTTGGGCAGTCTCAGTCACATGCCTGATGTAGGGGAGGAGTCCAGCTGCTGCAACTCAGGCAAAATGAAGGGTGGAAGAGAAAGAAAGGGTGGAAGAGATGGAAGAGGTGCCCAGGGGAGATGCAGGGAACAGGCTGTGTACCTAAGAAGGCTTCTCCACAGAGATAGGGGGATCTTGGGTTTTACTAGGGTCCCCCTTAAGCCCCACTGTGCATAGCCAGAAAGGGAATGCCAGCAGTATATGTCTACCTAGTCCCCTGTTCACTGGGGAGACAAATGAACCCTGGACGTAAGCCTGCTTTGGTTAAAGGCACTGAAGCAAAATATCTCTGCCCACTTTGGTAAAAGCCTTTTCTGGATCCCTGGGGTGATTCTAGGAAGCTCTACTTGTTCCTGAGATTTGGAATTCACCCTTGAGGAGACAGGACCGGAAAATGGAGACTCTGAAGGGGCCACCTTGGAAGAAGAGGGCTGCTGACAGGAATCTGGCCTATCGGTGAAGCCAGACATGTACAGCAGACCAGATGTGAACTGATAACCTTTTTGGCCAGGTGTGACCTGTGGAAAGCATGGGCAAGTCTCTGTTGATGTTCCCTTTCCCCAGAAGTAGATCACAGCTTCCCACAGCTCAGTCGCTCTGAGAAACAGGATGCTGGAGGAGATAGGTCTTTGTTTTGGTCCAGCAGGGCTCTTCTTAGGTGCTGTACTGATTTAATAGGTGCACCCTTTTTCCTATTGTGCCACTGGGTGCCGAATTTGTGCTTCATACGTAGCTATATTTTTCCAACTGGCAAAGCCGGGTACCTTGTTCTGCTGCGAACAGTATTGCTGGTCTATAGCCACACAGAGATACAGTGGTACCTCGGGTTAAATACTTAATTCGTTCTGGAGGTCCGTTCTTAACCTGAAACTGTTCTTAACCTGAAGCTAATGGGGCCTCCTGCTGCCGCGGCACAATTTCTGTTCTCATCCTGAAGCAAAGTTCTTAACCTGAAGCACTATTTCTGTAACCTGAAGCGTATGTAACCTGAAGCCTATGTAACCTGAGGTACCACTGTAGCATATAGAGACTATCAATCAATGGGCTTCCCAATTGGATTTTACCTAAGTTTTAACTGAAACAAAATTCACTGTCTCATTGACCCTGATCTTGAGAGACCATTGATCGGAGAGCTTTTATTATATTCCCTAGGGAAAACCTTCTGAAGCAATGTTGCTACTGATAAGTCCCAGCAACGAAAGGTGTTCCATTCTAAGACTGGGTGTCAATATTTAACTCGACAATTCAATATCTCAAAAGACACCTATAAAACAATGAACAAATGTATTGTGGATTGAATCAATCAGTTAAAAGGCACAAGGTTAATCAAATAAAAATGGGTTACTGGTCCTCAAGAATACCAGATGGCAAATCCCCAGTCCCCAAAACTAAGGGGGTCACAGGATGCCAGCAAGTGCAGTTTCTGGCAGAGAAGCAACAGTAGAATCAGGTGGAGGGGTGGCCAAGGACGCTGGTGCAGCTATAATTTAAACAGAGATGCACTCACTGGAATGCATTGGTCTCAACCAATGATTCTTAAGAGAAAAGGAAGTCTAAAAAAAAAAACTTTGACAGAGACCACTTGGACCCTGTGTTGCTGAGCGTACTAGTCGCTGTGGCTTGGAGCTGAACATTCACCTCAGCAGCTCCTGTTGCTGTAGCTCAGCTTCCTTCCTTTAGTTCATGTTCAGCTTTCTCTGCATGTGTCATGGCTGGGGAAATAGCATGTGCGGACCTAAACATTCAGGAAATGCCTTCCTGTTCAAGGATACCCATGCCTCGTCCTGGCAGGAACTGCAGTAAGTGGCTCACTTAGTCATGTATTTTTATTTTGTGTAGGGTAATTAATCTGCAGGCGGGTTGCAGAATCTGAGGTCCTTAGGTGTGTCTTGTGGGTCTCTGCTAAAT